AGGATAATAGCGCGTTCGTTCCCCACCATAGACACCTGCGGTCCAGAGTTTTGCAAATATCTCAGCAACATTGTGGTTGCATTTCGCTTAGTAACCTGCCATGAAAATTATAGAAGGCAGAAAACAAAACGTTAAAACATAACACGTATATTTTCTATACGCATGAAACGGCTTCTTTTTAACACTTACTATTTTGCTCCTTCTAAGTCTTTGTAAGTCATTTTTTGAGGATAAGCTGCACGTATTCTTACGTGGGCGAGGATTAATATGTAAAAAAATCGGGCTGAGGTATGGCGTGAGATCACGTGTGCTAACTTGGCACTCCACATTGCGGTTCATTTTTGGATCTTTGGAATTTGTCCAAAACTGCTGCTAATTACTAATGCTACTACTAACATCTCAAAGATCGTTTTTAAAGCCTATGTTATGGTGCACTTTAAGGAACTAATTGTTTCATCAAAAGTGTCCAAGACATTCCGTAGCAGCCTGATGTTCTGTCACTAGCACAACGAAGTAATCATTCACTTCAATTTGGCATTCATGGGGACACATTCTTTCTATATAACAAAGCACTATTTGTAAAAATTAGCTATACGCTTATACGAGGTCGGATTATAGAAGTTCACCGTCCAAGAACTACTTCAAGGATTGCAAAAGAGCTGGATACCTACCCGTGAATAATCGCTCTTCAATGTTTTTCTTCAATAAGCAGATACGAGGTTGTTAATATAGAATTTATTAGAATATAATACCTGACGTTTCGGCGGTTTCGTCTTCTTCAGAGCTTGGAAAGGTCAAATTGAGATGCGATCTACCTAGCCAAACACTTTCATAACCCCAGCAGATAAAACGTAACAAATAAATTTGTATTCGCATAAGAAACAGCTTCATTCAAACACCTACCGTTTACTTGTTGTAAGTATTTAAGTTAGTTGATGGATGGGCGAGGACTGAGCCCATGTATTACTCTGTGCGGCTGCTATCCATGGTGAATGTTGTGTCTTACTGATGAAAACCTATAGATTCTAATATTTCTCTTGTCGACTAATCACGTTGTGCTCCAGGATGGTCACGACCTATCGAAGCCAATACTTTGCAAACAAATAGTTGTGACATTCACAGTTCAATAATTCGGTTTTGCAGGATAAACTCATTTGTACGAAAAGACAAAAATAGTAAGTGGTAGTGGTTTTGGAAGTCAGCTGGGTCTATCTGAATCATCAGTGGCGGTACGTTGCGTTTCGTAACTGCCATTCAATTCGGCTGTTATTAAAAGTATGTGTATTATTTACAATATATAAGATTATCTATTCAGATACGCCCTTCGTTTTCTATTCTGGCATTTTATTCCAAAGCCACTAAGGATGGTGTGCTTAACGTAATAAATACTTACAATTGCATTTCCCATCTAATAGCACTTACAACTTTGTTCGACAATGTTGTGACATACTATAACAGTACATTTTCTTTTGGGAAGCACTCCTTTCAGTGCTACAAGTCTGAGTGAAAAACTGGGCCGTTTTTTCCCCTACAACATTTAACACACTTAACTTCAAGTTATAAGAATCTTGATAATTACTGTGTATCATTTTACAGCGTGGATGTCACCCAACGTGATTGTGTTAAGCAATATTCAACTTTTTCGTGAGAAAAGTAGGGGATGAAAGATTAAAGAGTTTGGCGTTGATAAATCTTAAGAACTGTAAAATCCTTTTGAATCCATTAAGAACTCTAGATGAGATTGAGTATACTACTGACGTATCAAACCAGTATTTTTCTCCTCTCAGACAAGTCTAATAATTTGCTCACCTCGGAGCGATCGAAGGCTTGCATAGTCCGGAGCAAGGGATCGAACCAACGACCGGCATTGTGTGCTTCACATGGCAACTCTAATGACTGCTCAATATGTATTCTTTCTTGATAAGCTTGCACGAGGTTGATAAATATATTTATTTTCGGCTAACGTTTCGACGTCTTCGTCTTCCTCAGAGCCGGTGATCCGAGTCGATGGTCCATGCCTGTTGTTCGCCTCGACGTTGCGTCTTCGCCTTCCTGTCGAGCCAAATCTTCCTCAGCGAGCCATCTTCTCGAATGAGGCATCCTCACTCAGTGATGCCCTTTTATACACGATGCTGATGGTGGATATATAATGACAATGTCCAGTGGTAACAACTTGTATTTCAACAACTTGTATTTCAACATTTGTATTTGACAGGAAGGCGAAGACGCAACGTCGAGGCGAACAACAGGCATGGACCATCGACTCGGATCACCGGCTCTGAGGAAGACGAAGACGTCGAAACGTTAGCCGAAAATAAATATATTTATCAACCTCGTGCAAGCTTATCAAGAAAGAATACATATTGATTAGTCACACCGAGGTTTAGGGAAGGTCGGTTTCGAAATATTTCTAATGACTGCGTTACACGCGCCCATCACGAGAACGGTGCGGATGGAAAATGTGCTATGCACCACATTACTCTGAAGGAGACACTACAGTCGTTCGTCTGTAGACCAATAGCTCGGATCATCAGGTATGATGAAGATGAAGACGTCGAAACGTTAGCGGAATAAGTGTGTCTATCAATCTAGTGTTAGCTTAACAATCCAAGGAGGTATTTATCATTGCTACCGAGATTAAATGACGGTTAGTTTGAAAAATGCCAGTAGTTGTCTTTTTTATTGGAGAAAGGCCACAAAAATCATAACCATCTAGGACTACGAATGGTATTATTAAGCATATTTTCTAAAGTGATTCGGAAAAATGAAATTAATGGGGGAAAATGGGCATACAAATCGAAGAGAGGCAGTGCGAATGAGGAGTGCGCTTCACAAAGAGAGGAAATGACCAAACAAACTGAATGAGTGGTGGAAATCATCCAGTCAGTCGAGAGACCCGCAACGAAATCATCGATGCTACCAGTATATTCTTGAACCTTCTCGTATGTCCTTATGAACTTCGTCTTCCTCTTCTCCTGAAACACTCAGAAGCGAATTGATCGAAGTATAAGAAAACAATATGTTAGTGATGATGTCTTTGTAGATAATAAATAAGTTGATTGGAGCAATAATGGGCACAATAACATTGAATAAACGAACCAATTTAACGTCATTATAATCGCTCACAAAATACATCAACTCTCGCTTCGTCCAACATCGTATTGCTCGAGGGACTCTGCTGCATCACAGCACCACTCTTTGCATTGCCAGAGTTTCGCAATGAATCTTGGTAACTCGAGGAACGTGAAAGGAATAGCATTTTCGCTCGAGGTGTTCGTGAAGAAAATGTGCGATTTTTCGCTGAAAATCGGATGGACTTCTATGGCATGGGCGAAAATGGATACGCTTATGAATAAGGCGAATCATGACCGCACTTTCATTTTGCCTAAGCAGGGCAATGATTTCAAGCGTGTGCGCAGAAGTGCGCACAAAGTCGTAAGTTTTCTGTCATGGTCGCTATCGATGAGCTTGTTAATCGCGCTCGTTTCTTTCTGCTCTGGAAGTTCTGTTGAGCAAGAATCATGTAATGGGTACTATCGCGTTGTTCAGGCTTAGCTGTGGACTTGTGCTTTCTTTCGCTCTGTAGGAATCGACCAGCATTCTTGCCAGTCTGCTACTGGTGGTTGCCATTAAGACGATATCAGTAGCAAGACAAAGCTTGATTAATTATAGGTTAATGTTTTGTTTTTCTTTATTCATCTTAAACACCGTCTTCAATTAAACGTCGGTGAAATAACCTATAATTTTCAACATAATTGAGCTGACAGCTGAAGAAGGTGAATGCGTTAAAAGGTCATCCGAATAAAAGTTTCTTATGGGAAACTAGTGACAATTCATTCACTAAAATTATTTTTCGCTTTCTTCATCTTCGCTTGCATAGAAAAACCTTTTTTCTGTAAGATGCTCTGAATTCTTAACAAGATCGAAGAAATCTGTCAAGTCGGTAAAAATAAAACAGAGCAGCGTTTTCAGCTGTCGTCATATTCACTGACCAATGACCAATGACCAATGACCAAAGACCAATGACCTAGTGGTCAAATTTTCCATGGCAAGAAGACCACTGACCCAAAGGTTAGAGTTTTCCATAAAGACCCTAGAAGAATGATATAAGTGAGCAAAACACAGTGGACTACTCTCGTAAACAACATGGACAAATGGAAAGTTTACTAGTGCACGCTAGGATAAGTGAACGATCAGCGGCAATTCAGGTGATGCAGGTGATTCGTTCCAATCTTACTTGCAACGCGATTAACCTTAGATGCTGGAGAACGCCTAGACATGGCTATCTACAGAGTTTAAAAAAAGTGCAACTTTCAAAGTAAGACGCTTAATGTCAACAACCTTGACTGGAAGCCAATATGCATTAATCATTGAATTCGTTTCCTTTCACAACACCTGTGTTCAGAAGTGAATCCTCGTTCTGTTGCCATATTTGTAGCTACATTAAAGAAAATAATCTCTATCAAATTTCTGAACGAATGCTTTCGTACATAAATGCTATTGGTGCCTGTCGAATCCGAGATTTGAGCGACTGTGAAGGTTTTTAATCCGAGTGAGTGAAACTCGATGGACGAGTTCCTTGCTTTCTGGAGAACCAAACAAGTCGTCCTGGATTCCATAAGTATTCACCTTGTTTGAAGTGGATGGAGATTACTTACTTGAGATAAGTTTAGTCCGTAGGGAAGCAACTGCCTACAGTGATTTATTTTCAGCTCGCTTTTGAACAGCTGAACTTTCAAAACTTGCACTCTTTGATTTCCCTGGAGAACCACGTTGAAGTTTCACGATGTGGTCAAATGCCATTTAAGACAACAACAATCATGCTTCTATTTCCTATATTTCGCGAGTTGTGATCACTCGATAAGATACTTCACGAACATTTTTTTGGATTTATATATTTCAGAAATTTTTATGGGAATAGGTATGTCAAATTAATTGGTATCTGTTCACCTACTCGAAGTTAAAACTAAACCAGAAAGCTTAGAAGGCTTTTTAGAGTGATCTTAACCAGATGCTTGATTTCAAAAACTCCAAAATGATTCGAAAGACCGACTTTCTATGAACCTCGGCATAGATAGTTGATATATGTGATCTTATAAACTGATCTTCTTAAGCTGACGCGAGGTTGGTACAGATCTTCGTTGTCGTTGCCGTTGTTTTTGAACGATGGCTGACGTTTCGGCGACTTCGCCTTCCTCAGTGCATGGATGTACTTTATGTTAGAATACTTTTTATTATTCGGTGGAAAAGAAGGTTAAAGTATTAATGAAGATCAAACTTTCAAGTAGACGCCATATTGAACAGAAAGGCCACTCACCGTGATGTTACGTGCGGAACTGGCCCACACATAGTTCACGCGAGCAAGACACGCTCCGGGGTCAAAATATCATTTTGAAATAGGGCGCCAGGTCACGC